AAAAAGGAGATATATGTAATACTTTAAACAATAAAAAGACAAAAAAAAAAACAAAAATAATAACATCAATAAAAATATTCCCACTATGAAATAATCTCACTTTTTGTTGGTTTTTAAATGTCCTCTGGGGTAAAAAAAAACCCTTCTAACATTCAAACATAAGACACAAGACAGAATCTAATCAGAGAATAAAATAGGGAAAAAAGATTTCATAGTACTATTAACTTTTTGAATACAAGTTGCTAAAAGACTTGATCAATCACTTGGGAAAATTCTGGCTCCTACCCTTATTCAGTTGGTTAGTTTTATTTGTTCTTCTCTATATAACCCTCTCTATGAATAAAAGACTTCTAACTTTAAGCTGGACCTCAGAAGTTATGACTTGTACAGAAAGTAAAGTAGCTTTCTAATCCCAGGAACAAGGAAAGTTCCTGGTATTTCCTCTGAGGTGCACATAACCAAGTACATGTCCATTCACACCTTCTGATCAGCACGGAGGGGTCAAGAGGAGAAATTCATGATCAGCAGGAAAATAGTTAGGATAAGGTCAGATCTATCAGAATTTCAGCTATATGCACTGCCCCGCCCCACTCAGGACTAAGAAATGGACTGTTCTGAAGCCGAAAAGTTCATATTCAAGCTTTTAAGGAAAATGATCCCTATTGTCTTCTATCCTAGGTTCTCTGAAACTTTCCTTCCTCACAAGTTCACTTCCTAGCTAACCCCAACAAAGACCAGACAGTGGCAAAAGGCAGCTCCAAATAAAATTTTAAAGAAGAATTTTACCCTCAAGCATCTATTCTGCTCTAACTCCACCCTGGTTCTCTGGTAGTCTAGAGCTTTCATACTACCTTGGCTGGTTCCAGGTATTTCATGACTTCTCCCATCCTATCCTCTTCAGTGTAATATACTTACTAACTGTAGCCCTACCCATAGCAGCTGCATCTCTTTACTAAATAAATACATATATTCTAGATAATCTTCAAATTAGTCTTTAAACTGAACCTGGAGATGTAAGTCAGTAGTTCCCAAACATGTTCATGTGCCAGACATTTCAAAGTGAAAATCCTCTTTGTAAAGCACTTATGCAGTTAAAATTTATTTTTTGTTCCTTTTAAAAGGCCCTCTGGGGTGAAAAAGCCTTGTAACATTCAAACATGAGAGACAAAACAGAATTTAATCAAAGAATAAAATAGGGAATAAAAAAATCATAAAAATTTAGAATTTTACTAACAGAAAATGACTTTAGTATTAAATATTTATATGCACTGAACATGAGAACAAATGTTCACTGAAAAAATTATTAAAAGGTCAGTGGTTCCTGAATTCTTCCAGTAACATTCACTTGTTACTGTTCATCATTAACAGGCAACAATGAAGGAAACATAAAAAAAAAAAAAAAATTCAAAATTTAGGAAATTTTATTCGAACATTTTTTTCCTCTTAAAATTAGAAAAACTGGAAGATCTTGGAAATAAGAGTATCAGAACCACTCCTGTGGCCAATCAATACCTCTAAATTAAGTCTATTTTTAAAAATTGATTGATCTAATCAACAAAAATTAAGTAAAATTCCTGAAGATTTTCAGGTGGCACAGGAGGAGATCCACTCCTCCCCCACCCCGCAGGAAGATCTTTCCTGAACACTGCTAGGGAAAGATAGAGGTCTTTCTTCCTAAAATTCTTCCAAGATGAGAAAGGTATACAAAAACCTTCCTGCCCTTCTCACTGAATGTCTTGGGATCTAATCATACTCCTCCCAGTGGGGCGGGACAGTCAGCCTGCGTGACCCTGCTTCCAGGCTACCCAGACTCAGACCCAGATGGTGTTTCAGGACCTAGTCATCTCCAGCTGCAGTGCTGCTATGACAGAGGCCGGTCTCTATGCAGCTGAATAGAGATATGAAGGGTCAGCTTTGGGAGCAGCTAATCCCACCCCAAGTCACGTACAGCCAAAACACAGATTTAAATGCCAAAAGGACTCTTAGAGACAGCTAGCCTAGCTACCTCACTTAGAAAAACTGGTTTTCAAACAATCCATAATAATAAAAGCATAATATGCTAATTAGACCAGGCGTCCTTCCTTCCGGACGAAGCCGCAGTGGGCAGGGGCCAAGGCCCTTGCATGAATTCCATGAATCAGGCCTCTAATTATTTAGAAAAAGTATTTTCTATTTAATTTGCAATTAACACTTACACAGAGTCACAAATGTCATAATTAAAATCTGTGTTCCCGACCCTAGAAAGACTGATAGCAGCATCCCTTTTCTTGGAGGACGGAATATATCACCATGAACTAGTTTCCAGCCAAATTCTTCCTGGGCATCCTCCTAAAAAGAAAATGAAATTGTTTGTCATGTGATATCACCAAGACAACTAGACAGTTTATCCACTGTTGAATAGACTAATACAGAAAATTTTTTAAAAACTTACAAAGGTTAATATTTATTTTAATTTTGGAAGTATAAAGCTTGAATTAGGGAGCTTTACAGTTTTCCTGAATTGTTTTAAAGGAATGCTGTGTGTTATGGTCTACTAATACTATAGTTACAGAGGAATTTTAAAAAGAAATACAAAGATAATGTGATGCCTACCTAGTTCTAGTCTAAGCTTTATGATCCAACTTAACATCTTAATTTTTAATCACACTATCCTTTTCAATCTACATTCATTAATCTCCAAAATAAACTAGATCTCATACCTACTTTGCTGTTACACAACACTTACACACACACTGGGAATTAGACTTTACCTTGTCATTTATGAGGAATGTACAAATTAAAGTTTTATTAAAAGTACAAGGACTCTAAGTGGATTAAATAAAATTATATTTGATATTGGCTTCAAAATAATTGGGGGGAGTGGAGGCGAGTAGGTGGGATTCTACAGATAAAACAAAACTGAACATGAGTTGGTAACTGTTGGCCCAGGGTGATGGGTCTACTAATCTCCTTGCCAGTATGAATGTCTGTGTTAAAAGTATGGGGGGAAATTATATGCATCCCTTCTTTTAGGTGATGCAATACATTAGCTAGACAAGGAACCATTTCTGATTACTTTTTTATTGAACAAGTATACTGAAACATTCAAACAATGTAAGTGAAAGCTAAGTTTTCAATAGAGAGCCAGGTCCCCTTTCTTGGAGTAAACAAATGTGACTAGTTTTTATTATCGTTGTAGAGATAGTCTACCTATGTATAAACAAATGCATGAATACTTTCTTTCCCACCCGCCCCCACAAATGGTAGCATATTATATACCATATTTCATACCTTATCTTTTTAGTCTAATAAGATCATGGCGGTGCTGTTCCACATTTGTATACACAGCATTGCCTAGTTCTTTTTAATGCTTACAAAGTATATTCCACTGAATGAATATTTCATAATTGAAATCTACTATCATAAACAACATATATTCACTGTTTTAAGATAAAAAAATAACAATAGTAAAATCCTTTGCATCATGATTAGTTTCTAGAAATGGAACTGTTGGGTCAAATTACATTATAATCTAACATTGCCAAACTGCCTTCCATAACTTATACCAATTTGCATTCTCATAAACTATGCATCAAAGTGCTCATGTCCTCAATCCTCAACACATTATCATATCAAACATTTTAACTTCTGCTAATGTATCAGGTGAAAAATCTTGCACTGCAGTTTTAATTTGCAGTTCTCTTGTAAGTGATGTTGTATCTTTTTGTAGGTTTCAGAACCATTTGTATTTCTTTTCTAGAGACTTTTAATGTGCCTTGCCCAGTTTCTTACTGGATGGTTGATTGTTTTCTTAGTGATTTTAGGATTTCTTTACTGAAGAATTAAACAATGTGTGTTTTTAACAGGGGTTAAAATATTTTCCCATTTAATATTTATCTTTCTACTCACGTATTTTTTGCTATTCAGATTTTTAATTGTAACAATTATTTATTTTATGGCTTCTGGCTCTCTGTCATACTTATAAAAATAACTTCACATGTGTACTACTATTTTCTTGTTTCACATTTTCATTTAAATCATTAATTCTTTAAATGTAAGGAATAAAGTTGGTCTTTACCTTATTTATCTCCCGAGACAGCCACTAACTTTATTCAATATTATGTATCCAATCTGTTTTTTAAAATACACTTTTGTTAATCTCCAATTTTAGACTCATTATTACTAGATACAGAAAATGTTTTCTTGGAATTTTTTGGTTTACCAATCCTTCTAAATCTCTTTAGCATTGGTTTTTATTAATTTACTAGAGGCCCGATGCATGAAATTCGTGCAAGAGTAGGCCTTTCTTGCCCCGGCTGCCGGCACCGGCTTCCCTCTGGCACCCTGGACCCAGGCTTCCCTCGCAGCCCTGACTTTGGCAGGAAGGTCGTCTGGAAGGACGTCTGGTCTAATTAGCATATTACCCTTTTATTATTATAGATGATGTGTTTTCTGCTAAAGTAATTCTATAGAAATTCCTGCAGTAAAGGTCCTTATGGTCAACTGTACTTCATCTTTATTTTTGAAAGATAGCTTCTCTGGATACTTGATGCTATGTAAATAATTTCTCTCACCAATTTAAAGATATTCTGTCTCTGAGCTCCTACTGCTAGTTTATTTATTCTTTCCCTCTGCCTGATTTTTGTCACAGTTGATCTAGGTGTGGATTTATTTGTATTTAGTCTGCTTGGGATATATTGTTTCCTTTATTTATGGATTCTAATCTTTCATCTGTTCTGTAAAACTCCTACCTATTACTTTCCAATATATTTTATACTCTGTATCTAATAGTTCTAGTATCTGAAATCT